TTTCTGAAAACAACTACTTCCACTAACCTTCTCAACTCAGCTTTGATAGCAGGGCTCACACGTGGATAAGCAACGCTAAATAGTCCGCAAGCTGACGTACGCGATGTAAACCAGTCACCTGAAAGCCTATTATTGTATAGGGTTCATTTTTAGAGAGGAAAGTTTTTTGATGACCCCGGCCTCCTACTATGAGATGTATATGGAAATACCATTTTGAAACACTAATCTTTCTGTTCGAAACCTGCGAAAGACTCTTTCAAAAAGTTATAAAGGCCTTCGCGTTCGAAAACGGGTAGGAGAGAATGCTTTGAGTACGGCAGAGAAAGTTCCAACACATTTATGTCTTAGATGTTGTAGTGATTAGTGCGCTACTGCCAAGTGATATGCCAGGCTGTCCCTGGTGAAGCCACTAGCCACTTGCTTTTTCTCTAAGGCACGCGCCATTTTTGATCCGCTTGATCCACTTCCTCCACTTCGCTATTGGTCGAATCCGCAGACTGACCAATGGTGGAGTGGATTAAGCGGATCAAGTGGATCAATTGAAATATCCCTCTGCTATCGGTCAGTTCACTGATTTGACCAGCAGCGAAGGGCATGGAGCGGAAGAAGCGGATCAAGCAGATCGAGTATGGCGCGTGCCTAACGAGTTATTTTGTGTTTGACATGTTCACGACATTAGATCCACCGATGGGTCATGATGTTGACGTTGCAAGATGCGCACTGGTCCGAAACTACGGAAATGGAAAAAATAATGTGTTTTGACGTATTTTCACTTCTACATTCAAGGCAATCATTGCCACATTCGAGGGCATAGGCCTTTGTAACTCCTTTGAGAAAATTGTTTTGCAGATTTCGAATGAAATCAAGACTAGAATCAAGTGTTTCGGAACAAGTATTCAGACGTACTTATGTTGAAAGGCTGGAATCACCAAAAGCACTTCCCTTATAAGCCAGCTGAGGATACCTACAAATCAAATGTGATTTATTAGACTGCAAACAGACCTGTAGCCAATCGTTTGAGCATGGGAATGAAATACTCCTCCAAAGCGGCAGTGCTATGCTTGTCAGCTATTTTTCGCAAGCTCTCCACAGCTTTGTCTCGTACGACAGTTTCTTCCACAGTAGCCAAATTCTCAAGCGGTGGAAGCAAGCAATGGACGTAATCAGGACCACCAACCTGAAAGGCAAATTTTGCAACACTTACGCAGAAGGGTTAGTCCATCAGAATCAGAAAACTCACCAAAGGAGTGAAATTTCCAAGCTGATCAGCCAGAATGAGCAAAACTTCATCTTCATCGTAGATTGTATCTGAACTTATATATTAATCAAACTGCAAACATTTCGACAATTTAGACAAGACTGTACCTGTGAGAAACTGAATGAGTTCGTTCCTAGTCCGTTCAACACCGAGAGCTAGCGCAATCGTTGACAATTTTCGAATGCTGTTCAACCGCAAATGGACGTCTTCATTTCGAAGTTCATCAATAAGCACAGCGATTGGATAGAGTGAATCGTCCGATTCTTCGTGTCCTGGTGACTGAGCAACAGCCGTTGTCATTTTCTGAAAATAAGATCTTGATCAGTTCAGTGAAGTGGAAAA